TGACAAAAATATTCACCAAAATTAGAGAATTGAAGACATCAACATGAAATGAACAAACCTAAGAGAGGTCTACCCAAGGTACATATACACCAAGTATCAAAGCATTCAGGCTTGTAGTTTTCAAGAAGAAGTCGAAAAAGTAAAACATTGACACGGACGACGACGACGCACGACACCGGACAATCACTCATATGATAAGCTCCGCTCGACAAAGTCGACAGCGGAGCTAAAAAGTAAAACATTGACACGGACGACAACGGAGACGGACAATCACTCATATGATAAGCTCCGCTCGACAAAGTCGACAGCGGAGCTAAAAAGACATATTCATTGTAGGTTTGTTTTTATGTTTTGCTTATGATCTCCCTTAAAATTCCGGTTCTAATTAATATTCATGATTAAATGAATAAATTAGGCCATCTCCATATAAAGACCACCTGTCTATAAAGGACAGTTTGGCTCAGTCCACTGACTGTCCTTTATAGACAGGTTTGACTGTACTGCATGCGCGATACTGGCCGCAGTGATGCGACCATGACGATAATTGAACCAATACGAACTATTCGTTGTTCTTGGGAAAGTACGGATATCAGCCGATTTGAAAAATTTTGTATAAAGTTTGTATTTGAGTTTGTGGCAGGTTCCTGCTGGAATGTAGACTGGCGCAGTCGGGGCGATTAATTTATTTTTGTAGTTCAAATAAAATACAAAAATTCGCGAAATGGAGGTGTTAGCGCGAAATCCCCTGTAACTATGAAATCATCCCGACTGGTTTATTCTGCATGGCCCTCTATCGACACTGCAGGAACCCGTCGATTTTTCAACGGGTAATTATGTTAATGATGTTCTAATCGACAATCATCTAAGCCAATCACAACGTCTCTTCAACTGATCTCTGACCGAGAAGACGTCGACTGGTTGTAGCAGCGTTTTTTTTTTTTCAATTCTACTAGTACGAGTTACTTTTTTACAAATTGTGATGAATTAGAAACGACGACTACGGCAAACTCAAATTTCAACGTGCCGCCATGTTATGTCTGCAGTGTGATCTTTACCATGTTCACCTCACTTTGCATGTGTTTCCGCGCTCACCTGTGGGTATTCATGAATATTTAATAGCAATGAATTTCCTGCAAAATAAACCAGTCGGGGTGATTTCGCACTAAAATTAGGCGAGGGTTCTCCGAACCCGCCTATTCACA